GCTACGATATAACACACAAACCAGAGTTAGACCATGATTTGACGTTTGGGAGATAACACAAACAATCGGGGTTAGAGCTACGATATAACACACAAACCAGAGTTAGACCATGATTTGACGTTTGGGAGATAACACAAACAATCGGGGTTAGAGCTACGATATAACACACAAACCAGAGTTAGACCATGATTTGACGTTTGGGAGATAACACAAACAATCGGGGTTAGAGCTACGATATAACACACAAACCAGAGTTAGACCATGATTTGACGTTTGGGAGATAACACAAACAATCGGGGTTAGAGCTACGATATAACACACAAACCAGAGTTAGACCATGATTTGACGTTTGGGCTTGACGTTAGAGCTACGGGAGAGAACATAAATGCACGGATAGAAGGAGATGGGTAACACAAACTAGTGTTAGAAGTAAAGGATATGAGACAACACAGGGTTAGAAGTACTAGGATAACGCGATGAGGGATAGAAGATACGGGATTAACATAAACATGGTTAAAAGTACTGGGATGATTAGAAGTACTGGGATTAACATAACAGGTTAAGAGGTACTGGGATTAACATAGCAGGATTAGAAGTACTAGGATTAACATAAGCAGGATTAGAAGTACTAGGATTAACATAAGCAGGATTAGAAGTACTAGGATTAACATAAGCAGGATTAGAAGTAATGGGATTATCATAAGCAGGATTAGAAGTACTGATTAACATAAGCAAGATTAGAAGTACTGGGATTAACATAAGCATGGTTATTGGTATTAGGATGACATATGAAGGGTTAGAAGTACAGTAGATTACACATACCATCGTTAGAAGCACAGGACACGACACAAAGAACATCTAAGAAGGTTAGGAGTACACGCAACACACAAGCAGAAATGTTTCAATCATTCATGATCTCCATACCTTCCGGAGTAGAAGCTTCCGCCTTTACGGATGCTGCGGGTTTTTCTGGTACAGCAGCTGGATCCTTGCTGGCAGAAATGATGCCTGAAGCCACCAGCTTAGTGAAGAGGCTATTAACATCAACGCCAAACGTCGACACGGCAGGCAGGGTCGACGGTTGTGTCACCGGGGCTGGTGGCTGCGCCGCTTGCCGGGACTCTGGAAACAATGGCCACGACGGTTAAAACCGACATTCCCAATTTTCACATCAACGCCAATTTCACGACAGTGCCAATTGGCATGTCACGCGAAACAATTCCGCACTAAACATACATCGACAAAATACATCCAAAAACATCGACTTTGACGGCTTTGACAAATAGTCACGTAGCTCTTTGTTAAGCTGAATGACGTTGCCTGTTGTATCACCAGATGGCAGCACGTGGACGCCAGTGAGTCTGACTGTCTGACTAGTTCGCAAGAGTATAGAACAGCAGCAGCGTGAGGAGGGGCAAAGACGCGACGACTCACCGACAGGAAAAGTGCCCGCCGGAGGCATGTAGGCTGGCGTGTGATTCGTCGAGCTGTCCGTCGCCGTGACGACGACACCGTTCTCAGAGGTCGGCTCCGGCGAGGCGGGCGACTCCGACTCGACTGTTGGTGCAGACTTCGGCGGAGGCCCGACGCGGTCGTCCTGGTCCTGTGGAACAACCGGCGCCTCCTGGTGGGGCTCCTGTCCCGGCGTGGCGACGACGGCCGCCGTTGGCTCGCGCTGCTTAAGCAGCTCACGTAGATCCACATCGCCCGACGTGACCATCGTCGCACACGCATCCTTCGACGCTGCAGTCGTCGTCACGGCGACGCCAAACGACGTGGGAGGCTGCGACGACGCTGCGACCGACACCTGCGCGCTGCTGAAGCCCACCCTGGGGTCGCCGACGACGACGACGGGCGGCGCGTACGCCACGACGGCCGACGACTCGGTCATCCTTGCTCCGCCGTGCATCCTCGACGTCGGCGGCGGCGACATGCAGGGGGCGCTGCAGGGCACCCTCGCGACGCCCGCGCGCTCGCCGGGCAGGTACGGCGGCGACG